TCCATTTGCAGAAAAATGAAACAAGACCCAGCACCTTAGACAAAGCCTATACAAGAGAGATCAAAAGACCTAAATGTAAATACTAAAGCTATAGAGGTTATCGGAAGAAAAAATAAGGATAAAGGACAAACTTGGTTGTTTTTGTTGTTCAGAGCCATTAAGTTGGGTACACCCCATAGTGATCCATAGGAGCAGTGGTAGCAGTTTGAAGACTCGGTGAGCCTGATTCAGGCCATGGTCTTTTCCTGCATTTGAGAGCTGGACAGTGAATGAGAAAAGCAGAAGAATTATTGATGGCTTTGAGCTGTGGTGTTGGAGAAGAGTATCAGATGGACTGCCTGAAAAACAAGCAGATACATGTTGGAGAAGGTGCAGCCAGTGTGCTCCTTGGGGGCAAAGGTGATAAGCTCCATCTCACATACTTTGGGCATGTTGTAGGAGACTCTTCTTTGAAGAGAGACAGCATACTTGGAAAAGTGGAGAGATGATCATCAAGGTGGATTGACACAGTGACTGCTGCAGTGGGCCCAGGTGTATCGGAGATTGTGAGGATGACACTGGATAGAACAGGGTTCTGATCTGGTGTTTGTAGCTTCGCTGTGAGTACTACTTGCCTCGATGACATGGAACAAGAAGCCACCAGAGTTCCCTAAAAGCTGTGAGCATCTATCTCAGATGCAACTCTTGGCTTTTCCTTGTGCAGAGGATAGAAGACTGAAGAAAATGAAAGGCTCAGAGAAGCAATTCGTCCAATAGACTAACGGACTAAAGCACAGCCTCACTGCCCTGGGACTTCAGGAACTCGGTGATGCTGCGCCACCCACCACTGTTTACTGCTTTCAGCATCACCACAGAAGGTCATGGACAGAATGGACAAGGAATTTAGAATAAAACTCAAAGTACTTAAAAAGATAAGACTTAGTGATCTGGTGGAAGAACTCCCAGACTATGGTGCAGAGACACCCTTCAAACCTGGAACTGAACCACTGGGGATCAACTTGGAAGCAGAGAACAGACAGCCTTCTAAAGTAAGCAGTAGTGTTTGTGGGGAATGGACTCCTCACAACAGTTAACCAGAAATGGCCAAATCGTTGTCGTGTGCTGTTGAGTTGAAACTGACCCACAGCTGACCCTCCAGTGGGTTCTCGGAGGTAGTAAATCCTATCGGAGGAGATTGCCCATCCATGTCCCGTAGATCAGCTGGTTGACTTGAACCGTGTGTGCCTTTGGGATTGCAGCACAGTGTCTTACCGCACAGCAAAGAGGGCAGCATTTTTGCTACAACAAGGTTCAGAAGTCAGGAGAAAGCAGGCAGGCTAGAGGAAAGAATGAGTTAGGGAACCCAGGGAGGGACAAAAGAGCACTATTAAGTGAGAGGATTTCAACTAGTATTACAAGACAAAACCTCTAAAGTGTTGAGTGTGAATTTGCTCTGTAGACTTCCACTCAAATAATTAAAAACAGAACAAGTCTCAACTTTGGAACTTGAATGCTCATAGTGTTTATAGTTTATGTGTAGAAGCAATTCAAATACCAACAGGTTACTAGATAAGCAGATTGTAGTGCTGTGCAATGGAATATCATACAACAATGAAAAGGGATGAACAATAAAAAGGATTCGTGCAGCACTATCTAGAAAACCAAATACTGAGTGAAAGAAGACAGACAGAGGGTACCTGTGGTGTTATTAGATTCCAAAGTGAAAAGAGTCAATTCCTCATGTTAAACAGATCATCAATTCCTAGGTGACAGAACATGTATGAGGTTGGGAAGGAGGGGTGCAGAGGCGTGAGGAAGCATTTGAAGGGACAGACTCATCATCTTGATTGTGATTGTGGCTTCATGTTCTAAACAAAAGTAAAAGTATCAAATTGCATATTAAGAAAATGCAGTTTCTTGTGTGCCAGTCATACTTACATAAAGCTTAAAATATTGAATGATTGCAAAAAAAATAAGATAGATTATGAAGTGTGGCCTTCTTGCATTGTATAAACAGAAAAATGTGCCATGTTTTATTCCTGAAGCCAAAGGAAATCAAGACAGCTTTAAAGGAATCAGAATGTTTTGTCTAGCCCTTTCATTACTTTTAAAAAATATTTATCATGGAAGATTTAAAACATACACATTCACATTGCTTTGTAAAATCGCGTGATCCCACAGGAAGAATTGTTAAGTGTTCCATTGTGAATTCTCTTGATTCTGCTCTCTTTTGCTAGAAGAGAAGGTGGATTCTAGCCATAGTTAATGAGTCTTTTAACAGCAAAAAGGCTGAAATTCTTCTCCATTTCAGGCAACAGGTACAGGCTAATCCCTCACAGGTGATTTTCTTCAAGTGTAAAACCAGATAGGGAGGCCGTAGTGAACAGATGACTTGACAGCTGGGAAACAGAAGGAATTCTCATCTGTTTATTCATTTCTAACTGGATTTTGAGGAGACCACAGATACCAGTTAATTCAATTACCTTCTTCTCCTCTTCATGGTTCTTGGACCTTCATTGCTTTGCTGGTGGATAGCACTGACTTGGTTGTTGTGATTATGAGCTTGCCCTAGCCTTCTGACACTGCACTTTCTTTTTCAGGTGTTGGATGGACTTTTGGCCCAGTATGGGACGGTGGAGAACGTGGAACAAGGTAATGAGGGAGCAGGTTACGTCTTTCATTTACTAAAGGGATGCTCCCTGTCCCTGCTGAGCTGATGCATGGGAGTGATAGTCAATTCAGATTCCTTTGACATAGACTTCTTGGATGGTGCCTGTATGTGAGAGATAGTGATACATATCTATGATTTATTCTTTCAAGGAGTATAGTTTTCAGACTTTTTTTTCTTATTTCTCATAATGCTAAAACATCAGACAAGCACTGTCAAGCTAGAAGCACTTTAATTCACTGTGGAGTAATTGAGTTTATACTTTTGCTCCTTTTTCTTCTTAAGAAAGCACATCTCTGATGTCCTGAACTGTGTTTCCCAAGGATGGGAGCCTCTCACCAGAATCCCCTGCAGGGCTTATTCACATGCATGCAAGTGTCTTAGATCCAAGTAGACCTGCTGGGTAAGAATAAGATGCTAAGGAGAAGACTGGAGCCTGTATTTTAAACAAACTATGTGCAGGGAGATGTGAGACTCTTTTTAGAATGTGGGCATTCTGCAAATGCCCAGAAAACACTTAGGCCTTGTCACCCTGTCTTTGTTCTTACTATTATTTAAAGTGTTAAGTGCTATGATTAAAAATAAAGAGCCCTGATGTTCATAGCTTCTGTCTCCTATAGAATGTCAGAAAGGTAGATTGCAAGCCCCTGATCTCACAGTGCAGGCATATGTGATTAAGATTCTTGTTTTTTCCTCCTAAAGAACCAGTTGAGATTTCAGCGATGTGGTGATTATGAGCCTTTGGGAAATGTCCATTAACTTCACTAACTCAGATGCCGTTTGTGTAACATGGGGACAATGTTTTCTATCCCTAAAAAATTGTAGCACCCGAAGAGAATATGTATAAGGTACTTGAAGAGTGATCTTTAATCTTAATGGATTGTTAAGGTTCACTTGAGGGAAATGGAAAAACCTCCCCCCACCCCATATGTCCTCTATTCTGTCTACAGTATAATTAATGTAATAGTTTTAATGTAGTAATTATTCACATATTCTCCTTTCCATGAATATTAAAAATATTATTATTCAATTTCATGCTGCTGAAAGAACTCAGAAGACATGGTCTCCAATGATTATGTTTCTCAGTTCTGATTATTTCTCTCCACATGGAAAAGAAGACATGCTAATAAAGACTGGATGTTGTAGGCAAGTTGACCTTATAGACATGAAGCTGTAAAAGTTCCCAGCTAAAAGTGTATCATCAATTCAAGACAAGTCTACAAGGAAGAAAATATCCCAGTCAGTTCCCTGAGGCAGTTTTACTGGCTCCCAGTGGACAGGATAGAAGTATTGGGTTTGGTTTTGCTCTGTTTCATGGGTGATTCCTAGTTCACAAGGAGCACATTACCTGTAAATTTTTAGGAACGCATATAGAGCTTTCATGCCCAGAGAAATACACTATTTGAATGGAGCTCGGTTCAGTCCAATATCAGAGAATTGCCTGATTACCTGGAGATAAACATCTTTGAAGACCAGAGCATAGAACTAAGAAGTGAAAGCAAATTCTGAAAATCCCAGTGGATAGTTTTATTTGGCTTTTTTGTTGAAGCCAGCCTTTGCTGGGCATCTACAGCCTCATCTTTAGCACTCGCTAGGAATCAGCAAACAGGAAACCTCTGTAGCTTTTTTTGTGTCAGTACTCAGAGAGGACCATTATGGGCTACAGAACTCCTCTTTTGCCTTGTGAGGACTTCTCTGAGATAAGTGTGAATTAGAGGGCTGTCCTGACACTCCTGGAGCAGGGTCCAGAGCAGGGCTCAGCTGTTTGTCACTGGAAAATCTCATGGACAGTTCCTTTCTGTGAATGCCACGCCTCTACCACCCCTCAAGGCTGATGTTACTTTGAGTTGTGGCTAAGCAGTATTTTATCAGTGTTTTTTTAGCCTCTTCTAGTGTCCTGAGATCACTTAAAAAATCATATGACTATCATGAGTTCTCATAGAAAAATTAACATATCTTCAAGTTTGAGTCTAATATACATACCACCTATAGGAATCGTTGTTGTTGTTGTTATGTGCCGTCCAGTCGTTTGCTACTCATAGCGACCCTATGCACAACAGTCCTAAACCCTGCTCTGTCCTGCACCAACCGCACTGCCTCTGACACACCCATCCCGATTACCCCAGTCACCGAATCAATCCATCTCATAG